GGAAGCCTGCTTCTCCCTCTCCCACTCCCCCTGCTTGTGTTCCCTCTCTCGCTGTCTCTCTCTGTCAAATAAATAAATAAAATCTTAGAAAAAAAAATAACAAAAATAAAGGAACTAATTGATAATACAGTAACAGTAGGGAACCTTAACACCCCACTTATACCAATGGACAGATCTTCTAAACAAAAAATCAACAAGGAAACAATGACTTTGAATGACACACTGGACCAGATGGATTTACCAGATATATTCAGAAGATTCCATTCTAAAACAACAGAATATATATTCTTCTCAAGCGCACATGGAACATTCTCCAAAACAGATCACATTTTAGCCCACAAAACAAGCCTCAACAAATTCAAGAAGACTGAACTCATACCATGAATCTTTTTGGACCACAAGGCTATAAAACTAGAAGTCAACAACAAGGAAAAATCTGGAAAGACCACAAATACATGGAGGTTAGATAATCTGCTACTAAACAATGAAGGGGTAAACCAGGAAATAAAAGAAGAAATAAAAAGTACTTGGAAGCAAAAGAAAATGAAAATACAATGGCCCAAAACCTTTAGGATGCAGCAAAAGTGGTCATAAGAGGGAAATTTATACAACACAGGCCTACCTCAAGAAGAAAATTCTCAAATAAACAACCTAACTTTATATCCAAAGGAGCTATAAAAAGAAAACAAACAAAATCTAAAACCAGCAGAAGGAAGGAAATAATAAAGATTAAAGCAGAAATAAATGATAGAAAAACTAAAAAACAAAACACAATAGATCAACGAAACCAGAAGTTGGTTCTTTGTAAAAAAATCAATGAAATTGAGAAACCTCTAGCCAGACCTACCAAGAAAAAAAAGAGAAAGGACTCAAATAAAATCACAAATGACAAAGGAAAAATAACAACCAATGCCACAGAAACACAAACAATAATAAGAGAATATTATGAAAAACTACATGCCGACAAATTAGCCATCCTAGAAGAAACGGATAAATTCCTAGAAACATATAAACTACCAAAACTGAAACAGGAAGAAATAGACAATTTGAATAGACTGATAACCAGCAAAGAAATTGAATCAGTAATCAAAAAACTCCCAAAAAACAAAAGTCCAGGACCAGATGGCTTCACAGGCAAATTCTACCAAACATGTAAAGATGAGTTAATACCTATAATTCTCAAACTATTCCAAAAAATATAAAAGGAAGGAAAACTTCCAAATTCATTCTATGAGACCAGCATTACCCTGATAACAAAACCAAATAAAAACATCACAAAAAAAGAGAACTATAAGCCAATATATTTGATGAACACAGGTGCAAAAATCCTCAATAAAATACTAGCAAACTGAATTCAACAACACATTAAAAAAATCATTCACAGTGATCAAGTGGGATTTATTGCTAGGTTGTAAGGGTGGTTCAATATTCACAAATCAATCAACGTGATACATCACATCAATAAGAGAAAGGATAAGAATTATATGATCATTTCAGTAGATGCAGAAAAAGTGTTTGACAAAGTAGAACATCCATTCATGATAAAAACTCTCAACAAAAATAGGTTTAGAAGAACATACCTCAACATAATAAAGCCCTTATATGAAAAACCCCACAGCAAACATCATCCTCAATCAGGAAAATCTGAGAGCTTTCCCCCTAAGATCAAGAACAAGACAAGGATGTCCACTCTTACCACTTTTATTCAACAGAGTACTGGAAGTCCTAGCAATAATAAAACAAAAAGAAATAAAAGGCATCCAAATTGGTAAGGAAGAAGTAAAACATTCATTATTTGCAGATGACATGATACTCTAT